GCTAAAGTTTTTTTAAGGTATGTTCACAACTCAGGGATCTGAGAAGCTAGAACGCTGAAATCTTAATGGGATTTCCCCCGTCCAAGTAGGTGTTAATGTACTCAAACCCATCCCCCGGGTAATTGTGGTACCCGCGTACGGGCCTGCCAGAATTTTTTTCGGGTAAGTTCATAACTCGGGGATCTGAGAAGCTAGGATGCTGAAATCTTAGGGGGACGCTTCCCGTCCAAGTAAATGATAACTCAGGAGCCAGGAAAGCTAGAAAGCTGAAATTTTAAGAGGCTGTTTCCTTCCAGTTCTGGCGGCCATTCTTCATTTGTTCAGCTAGAAGCATTTGCCGAAAAAACCGATGCCGATAGCGACAAAAACTGCGGAAAACTATGCAAAAAACGCATCTTCATCACGGGCAGTCCGCGCGTTGGCCAATTATTTTTATCTCTTTTGCGTTGCAACAGCGTCGTAAAAACGTATTTCGACGAAATCCTATCTGTGCCCGTTCGAATTCCAGGTTTTCAACCCAGCAACTGGAATTTTTAGCCAACGTTCCTTGCCTATGCGTGATTCTGCTAATTTATATTCAGCTTTCACGTATGCCTAGGTCTCATGAACAGACAAGTGAAAGTCTAGTGAAATTTATCATCTCAGGAACGAGACTAGAAAAGATGCTAAAGTTCAAGGAAGATTTTTACTGTTCATGCATGAATCTGAAAAATTAGCACTCAGGAATTTTCGAGGACTACTTTTCGAGTGCCTTTGCCTTTCATAGGAAATCAGTACAAAGGAGTTTTTAATTTTAGCTTTGGTCGTTCGTAAAAATGTAAGTACATAAAAATAACTATGAATCCTGTTTATATTTACACTGCTATTTCTGTATGCATTTTCGATTTACTTACATTTATATAAGCTTCTTTACTTACCAGTACTGGAGATGATTGCATTTGCTTCTTGGAGCGGAGAATTTCGAGGAAGCAGTTTTTCGACGTCCAAGCGAGTTTCAATGTTCAGTGCTCCAATCACTCCGAAATACCAGTAAACGGCGATAGCTAAGAAAGCCAATGCACGAAACGGTTTTGATGTTATGATACAACAATAGCATTTCAAAGCAGATCGTAACCCGTTTGTTATCTGTAATCATTAGATACAAGACTTCAAGGTAAATAGATCTTATCAGTGCGCAATTGCTGTTCCTAAATTCGCACAGAGGCTTTTTTGAAACATATTAAGATACCGAGACCTTAGCAGCAGTACTACTGGTCTCACACTTGTCATGCTTTTCGCCCCCCACCGTTGTCGGCAAGGCAAGCATGTTCGCAATGATATCCTGCATGCCGCTCATCAGATGGAAAAATGATTTTTTGTCACAAAAAGACACGCCAGTTATCTTTAACTTCATTGCCCGCTTTTCTTAGCCAGTGCTCACTTTCCAGCTTTTATTTTCAAGAATTTTCTGAATGCGAAGCTAAACTATAAAATCCGTGTCTAATGTAAGATTGACTGAGGCTGTTTTACACTGATTCATATTTACAACGCTCATATGTTCGCAACTTGAGGCCACATTTAAATTAAAGCGAAATTTATAGGTCACGCTTATAGATAACTGATTTCTCAGTATTTTGAATATTTGTTTTTCCTGCTTGCAGTTTATAAGAGTATTGTGAATTTGAACCTGAACCAGTGAATCAGGAAAAGGCAAATGAAAACAAACCATGGGACAAGCGGCATCTTTTTTCCGCTTCCTTTCCAGCATCGTTGCGAGGTACAGCATTGGACAAAGCAGCACCATCGTGAAGATATATGCAAATGCAAGTGCTATCGCAGTTTCGAAACAAAACAGTGCTATCTCTGAAACATTTTGGTACGAGTTTCCTTCTTTTCCAGTGTTTTTTCTTTTGTCTTGAGCAGTCAGAAACTTGCTTATCATATATATGACAGGTTGTACTCATGATTCCCAATCCTACCCCTACATTATGCCCTTCTGTGTTTGTAGCCAAGGGATGAAATGTAGACTGCTCTTGAACATGTCCACTGTGTACAGATTTCCAGATTTTATTCATTGGAGGCTTTCCTCAGTGATATACTACTGTAACAGTCAATCTGGTTTGATTCCCTGGGTTCCTAAAACGATCGTTCCAAGGAGCTGGAAAATTGCGGAGTTTTATACCAACACTAGCTCTCAGGCACTATCGCTTTCACTCAAAGATTGCTCAAAACATCTGGTAGCCCACACCAAAATACGTACTTTAACTAAACGAGGAAAGAGAAGTGCAGTTTGGCCTAGACACTTGAGATTGCTGCATAGACTCAGAACTACTTACCAGGTGTTGGTGTCAAAGCACCGATACCGAAAGTGATTACGTTGGTGAGCGTTGACATAGTTATCGAAGGTCCAGCTTCTTCCAGCACGAAACCGAGTCGTTGTGCAACCGAACATTCGCTTACTGATCGTAGCCACGAATGTATCACCAGGAAGGCACCATTCACGCCTACAGCTGGTAATAGTCTTAGCTGCAGCATTGGGTTATACCTATTTGCTAGAATGCCACACAGCCAGCCTAGAAAAATGCGCCAAATAGGAATAAAGTTTTCTGACCGATTCCCATCACGAGGAAGGGCATGATGAGCATGATGGTGTTCGTTCGCAACTGAGCCAAAGCGAAGAGGCCAAACGTGACTGTGATTGCAAGCACCGGACAAGCGATAACACCGAATGCAACGAGAAGTTTGGCCGGATGCATGACACCAAACAATAGCGCACTGCCTAATACTGAAATCGCCACAACCAGAAACATTGCCAAGAAACCTAAAATTATCCTTCCAAAAACTCCTGCATCAAAAAAACCGCTAAAAAACCGGCACAAAAATTCCAGAGTCGCAGTAGAAACAGTGAATATCTAGTAACTGGTAAGAAGTTTTTATCAGTTTTAGAAGGCGAATGAAAAAAGTAACTTCTTTTTAAAGCGAAAACCACGGTCTTGATTTAGATAACCCGTTTTCAATAATAATTTGTACCTTTTTTTTCTAGCAAACAAATCCTGTTCCATCAGAATTCAGCCAAAAAAGAAAACCAAATTTCGTACTCATGTTGTATGTGCGTTTTTTTTCAATACATTTTTTTTTAACATACTTCAGTAAGCGCTCGATGAAATGATACTTGACTGATGAGGAGGAAACTGAGGTACTAAGCAATAGGGTGACACAGAGGGTGAGAAGGATACCACCTATTGAGCTTCGACGCAGGAATCAAATTGTACTGTGACAAAAAAGCGCATTTTTTCTATTATGTGAGTGCAAATCAATTAACTCTTAGTGGAGAATGAAAGACCAACCAACAACAAAATATGGTGCCATCCGTTGCGAATCCCGGATTAATTCCTGATTGACAATTTCAGCACCGAGCACCTAAAACCAAAGCACTTTGAAATGTTGCACTCTATGACCTTCTAGATTGCTACAGAAAGTAACTTTGATAATTATCTACAAAATCGTTCATTAATCACCAGTAATTTTCCAATGTTACTAGCAGAATCCCGATTTTTTTTCTAAATTACTGGACACGAAGAAGCCTTAAAAAATGAGAACGAACAAGCATTTTGATCGGCTGGTTAGTATAGTTCTGTGTTGCATACTTATATACAGCTACTTCCCAGGCGTTCAGCTTCGCTTCCATGCCAACGCTGTCCACCAATCCTTGAAAGAACATAAACACAACCTATAACACATTCAGATCCTGAGAATATTGCCATTCATAAGTACTTAATCCAATCGTCTCGGAAAAGAAGCCCCCTCAACTGGTTTTTTTTTGCTGAAACAAAGTAAAGAAATTTTCGACAGAGTCAACTAGTCTTTAATCTCAAAATGAATGGAGTATGACTGTACAAATTAAAGTGTTAGGAATGATTTAACAAAGTATCACTTTGATAAATCATTCCTAACATAATCTTTATTAAAGATACTTCCCACCCCTGTTGGACCATCATTGCGAAAGAAACACTGTATAATGATAATACTAAAAGAGTTTCAACTTTGGACTTTCTGATTAATACAAGAAGTAACGAAAACAAATGAAGATTACCTGGATATGCTCTATATTGGTGATGGCTCGCAAGGTGTCCATTTCGGAAGCAGTGGCCAACGGTTTTTTAGCGCCTGCGATGACATTTTTATAGGGCCGTAACCGAACACCATAAAAGTTGCGTTCCAAATGAACATCAAAACCACTAAATCGAGCAATAGGATATGTTAAATTGGTGGATTCACCGCGAATTTTACCCGCTTTCTCCTTCCGGTACTCTTCTAGTAAAGCACTCTGAAATAATAAGGAAAGCCAGTAGGGGTGCTACGAATGTATTATTATCATTATTATCATTATCATAGTAATAATAATAATAATTATTATTATTGTTATCAGCAGTTCATCCCAGAATCTGCAAATCCTCAAGTTTTTGATTAATGGATTTACGTCGAAGGGTAATCTAAACCCAGGCTGGAACGCACCGGACGGGCCCGTGCGATCATGCGTTTTTGCACAGGACTTGAAG